GCCTAGCATGCGTGGGGCACTGGGTTTGATCCTCAGCACTACATAAAAATAAACAAATAAAATAAAGGCATTCTTTCCAACTACAACTACAAAAAAAAAAAAAGATTTAAAAAAGACCACAAGTTCTACATACATATCACCAAAAATTCACAATATCCAACATCATATGAAAACTTATCAGACCTTCAGTAGGAGGAAATATGTCTCATAATCATGGTGAAGCTGGTCAACAGAAACAAACTGAGAAATGTCAGATGATGGAACTATCAGGCAAATACATTAAATATTCTCAAGGAATTAAATGAAAAGAAGGCCATGATACAAGAGAAACAGACAGATTTAAAAAGAAATGTAGCTTACAGACTTAAGAGGTTAATATTAAAAATAAATTATAATTCTACATATTAGTGATAAACAATGAAATGTTGAAAGGTTAAGAATATCTTTTAAACAGCATAAAAATGTAAGATATTTAACTATGGAATACAATAATTCAAGATGTCTATAGAATAAAAATTGTTGAGAGAAAGTAGGAAAAATTAAAGGAATATATAAAGCTCATGAATTAAAAGGCATAATGTTAAAATGTTAAACATAATTGATATATTGATAATTTTAATCAAAATTTCAGAAGATTTTTTAATTAACAAGCAATTTAAAAAATCTTAGAATTTAAATGATCAGAATAGAGAGGAAGAAAGAAAGAAGTCAGAAAAAAAAAAAAACCCTACTAATTCAAGGCTCTCTAAAAGAATGAAGATGAGTTGGGATTTTAAAATATATGAAGACATTATTCAATGAAAAAGAAAGAACTTTTAGAATATATCTACATGTAAGTGTTCATAGGAAAAATCCCTTGAAAACACAAGCAAGGGAAAAATATTTGAGGGTACAGACATCATGTTGTATGCCCATAAAATGAAACCTGAGTTAACAGTGGAAAGAAATTAACTTGCACAATACACACAACTTGGAGAAATCATGAAACTATTACCCTATGAATCACAGGTGCATGCTATACTCATTTCTCTGTCACAGACTGTGGACACAGGACCTAGGTTTGCCCAATCAGAGGAATCCACCAATCTTCAAATCTGATGCTTATAGGAAACAGACTGGAAGGAAAAGGCTCCAATTCCGGCTGCAGCCACACCCATTTTCCAGTACATGGGTAGCAGAAAGGAACCTCCAGGAATGGCATCTGGAAGGAGGGGTCCTGTAAGCTGAAACACTCAGGTGTGGTGGGAGAAGTAGCAGAGTCCTCTCTGGACAGGCCCTGTGGCATTGTTATCACCTGTGCTAATTCCCAGTTCTCTGTGTTCCCAACATTAACCTGAGCCTAGATTACAACCTACCTGGAAATTCTTTGAGCTATTCAACATCTATCAATATTCTTTTCTTCTTGAAATGGTCACCCATCGATGCAAACTAAACATCTGGAAAACAAAATTCTGATCTTCTTCCTCCTTGTGGACTATTAATTGGTTAACTTATTTTTTTTTCTGTCTTACATCAACTAAGGAGCAACCATACATCTCCCTAAATAAGTTTTGTGTAATTCACACATCCCCCTTTCACTTGCATCTATTTAAATTTGCCTCAGGCATTGACTGAGAACTGTTTCCAGGGAGAACTAAATTCCCAGACACTTTCCCCTCCATATTTAAAGGAATGAGAGTCCCCAGAAGCATGAAAAAGAAACGCATTTACTTGGTGCCTTCTGCAGTAGACTGTGGTCCTATGATCCTAGGACCATGTCATATCCTGTGGTTTGGATGAGTGTTCCCCAAAGGTGCCTAAGTAAGTCTTAGGTGGTGGTACTGCAGATGCTGTGGACCTTTAAGAGGTGAGGCATTATGAAAGGTCCTTAGGTCATTGGAGTGTTTTCTCAAAGGGGGTTGGTGGACCTTGAGCATCTTCCCTTCCTCCCTCTCCCCCCCCCTCTCTCTCTCTCTCTCTCTCCCATTCCTGGTTTAATGTGTGACCATTTGCTTGCATACACACCCCCACTCTGATGTACTACCTTCGCCAGAGGCCCTCCAATCTTGAACTTGACCTCTGTGAGCTAAAGTAAACCAATACATAAGCTGGACTGAAGCAAACATAATGAAGAGATACTGAAACGAATGTATAAGTTTTTTAAAAAATTAAAAAGAGATCTTGGAGGCATTACTCAATTAAAAACACAAGCAAAAAAAATCTAATGTCATACATATGGGCTATTGGCATGGGTTGGTCTAGAAAATTAAAGTTAACATGTAAGGCAGAGCTGGTCCGTTCAAATAGAAATATAATGTAAGCCACACATGTAATTTTAAGTGTTGTGGTAGTCACATTAACAAAATATTGCAAAGTAATAGGTTAATTATTAATATTAGCACATATTAACCAGACATGTTTAAAGTATTACCATATTAACATATTATCCACATGAAATATTCAGACATTTTACATTCAGTAATTTTAAATTCAAATGAATTAAAATTTTAAAAGATGAAAATTCAGTTTCTTAGTCTTACGAGTTGCATTTTGAGTGGTCTGTATTTTCATATGTAGTACCACATGGGACAGTATAGGGCTTTCTGGAAAACTTCTGAATTGAGGGAATACCAAACTTTTATACTCATAGTCAATGAAATTCTTAGTCCTCTTTCAAAGGGTAAATTTTGTAAAATTTTATTTGTTGAAAACTTCCTCATGGAAGATTGTCAATAAGGCTACTGCAGAAGTCACAACAATCACCCCTCACTGAAGAGCATTCTGTGTTAAAATGCTTCTATTTAGAATGTAGGCATTTCACCCCTGCAAAGATCTATGACTTCAGCCTGACATTGCCACTCTGTTTCCAGATATGCCATCATATGTTAATGATGTTATCACTGTGGTGTGGATAGATGATGAACCCGTAAGAAGAATTTATAGAATCCTAAACAGCTTAGATGTATGTATGAGAATGCAAATCTCAATGTAAACTGCTTAGATTCCAAATAGTGACACTGGTACTATTCTACCCAAATCAAGATATGGTGGCACAGGATCTGTAAATTCTAAAGATAATTTTAAAGCTTTCTGTTTATTACAATTACAATTACTCATCACAATTCTCTCTTCCACATCTCCTCCTGTGCCTGCAAAAATAAATAAATAAAATAAAAATAATCAAAGGTAACTAATTGCAGATGGAAATTAGGCTGATAAAATTTTGTAGTTACAAATTTTTTTCTTCTGTTATAAGATCAGGGCACCTACTTTTCATGTGAAAGCGTCAGGAAATATGATCAAGAATTCAGTATAATTCTGTAAGTATTTCTCAGAATTTTTTGAGCTTAGTAGATACTAAAAAACTGGCCTCAGGTTCAATAACTTTCATTTCAAATCTCTTTAGAACTAATCTTCAAAATACACAGAGTCACATGGTCTTATCAATAGTAGTCTGAATTAATTTAGTTCAAGGTGTTTCTCCAAGTTATCAGAGACATGTTCCATCACACTGAACACACACATGGCAGGCTGGGGGGAAAAAAGGTAGAGATGAATAAGAAAATGCTAAAATAAAATCTTGTAAAACTTTTACAGGGAAGAATTACCAAGTATTCATCACCAATATGGAATTCCATATTCTGTCTGAGAAGTTAGTCTTGATTACCATGTATAGGGCAATATTTCAAAACTCACCTCAATCACATCCTCCCTCCAAGATTGAAAAGGGGACTTACAAGATAGCAGTCTATCTTGGATTTGGTTCAGTCACCACTTAACTAATCATCTCATCTTTAACATAGACACACACACAAACACACACAGAATATGCTAGACAAAAGACAGAAAAATAGTTCAGTGATGCTATAACTGTGTGTGAAATGGGGACAGATAGCAGCTTTATGATCCTCACCTGAGGTTTCACAATTCAGAGAGCTTGGCAACAGCAGAAGAGGTAGAGAGAGGGAAGATGGGAGGGGAGGCGAGGGGAAGGGGGAGAGTAGGGGATAGGAAAGGTAGCAGAATACAATAGTCACTAATATGCCATTATGTAAAATTGTGAGTATGTAACAGATGTGATTCTGCAATTTGTAGTTGGGGTAAAAACGGGAGTTCAAAACCCAATTGAGTCAAATGTATGAAAGATGATATATCATGAGCTCTGTAATGTTTTGAACAATCAATAAAAAAAATAAAAAAATCATAAAAAAAGACTATCAACTCAGTGTTCATTGGAACTGTCAACTCTTTGTTTGTGATACCCACATAAAATACAGTAAATATATATACACACATGTACTTACGTATGTGTGTGTATATATATATATATGTATGTTTGCATGCACACATGTGAACTCACACTTTTCTAACTCTTTCCAGAATCATCAAGTGAAAAAGAAACTGATGAAGTGAAATGTGCAGGTTCTTCTGCACCAACTAGGAGGTGTAGCTGTTGCTCTGCCAAGGACATGGGTCTGCAGCATTCGGTTGGCAACTGGTTCTGTCATTGAGGGCTGGGATTCAAACCAGGCAGTCTGATTCATATCCTTGCCTATAGTCTTGACCACAGCAGTAGCACAGAAACTCATTTGGAGAAAGAATATTAAAGGTCATCTAGTCCAACTCATTAGCCTGTGTTTAATGTGCTCAATATCATCCCTGACAATGTATTAATTCTCTGAGATAAAAAGGCAAAAACATTTCTGAAGCAGAAGGAATATGTCAGATCATTTTCTGTGTGACAAATTAAATAGTTTAGATACTCCTTAAGCAGCTCTACCATCTGATTTCCAATTGGACGAATTATTCCTGTTCTATTATCACCCTTTCTACAAAGAGGGAAAAAACACACTTGTAAGTGGTAAAGTGATAATTGTCAATAAATGGATTATAATTCATTATTTTCTGCATCTCTGTGGCTTGATAAAAGGAAAACTAAGACATTCTAAGGCAAGCTATAAACATCAACTAACAGATGTGTTTGCCAGCATATGACGGATCAATACTTAAATAGCAAAAGATTGCTCACATAAAATGCCAATTATATTTCCAAGAAACATCTTCACCAGTCATGTCTAAAGTTTCAACTCTATTTTACCCTAGAAAGGAATGTGGACTTCCTCAGTGTTGAGCTCTTCTTTGCAGAAAAGGAGAGAAATTGTTACCTAAGGGGAAAAAAATATTAGAATTGAGAGAAAGGAGAAATATCATACCATTTGTGGTTTTGAACACAGACCAACTTAAAATCCCTTCACGGTTTTCAGAATCAATCATACAAGCAGTTCCTTTCCTTACTTCCTCAAAAGGGACAGACTAGGGACCCTTTGCAGTAATCACTGAACAAAACTCAGACTGAATTGTAGTCCTGTTTCCCACATTGGTATAAACATCCTTCCCAGGGATTTGACTCTGTAGCACCAAGACTGTCTGGCATAGCAAACAAAACCATAGTTGGCACAGGTATCTCCCCAGCTCTGGAGTGAGATTAGATGTAAGAAATATCAACATTCACCAAGGCCAGTGGAAGTAAATTTAAACTCTCTCCTACCACCAAACAAACAACCACAGCCACATCTTAAAAACTCCCATCAGGATGACTGATCTGGGCCCCACAGCCCTGAAGTGGCTTCTTGCGTATCATAGTCCTGTAATTAGTGGCGGGTGTTCCCTCCGGATGCTCAAGAGTTAGAGATTCGGTTGGAGTGTTGTTCTGAAGCTTATCCAAATAATTCTTCTGTGTGTGTTCCTCAATTCTCTCACATGTTTTCTTCCCCAACCCAATCCCTCACCTATCCAATTTTATACCACAGAATCTAAATATCTCTGTCCAAGTCTGGAATTTCCTGTTGTATCTCATTAGTTCAGTACCAATGCCCTACTATTTTAAAAATGTCCCATCTACTTTCTAGAAGCTAAATAATAGACTTTTATGTTTGTCCAAGAGTGTAGCTCAACTGAAGAAAGAACCAAGTTCCTTTTAGCCAGAAAACCAATTTTATTGTTTGTATTTTCTGAAAGTTCAATTTTGTTTTTAAGAATCTTTACAATCCCAGCCACTCTGGAGGCTGAGGCAGGAGAACTACAACTTCAAGTTGTAGTCTGGGCAGTTTAGTAAGACCCTGTCTCAAGGGAAAAAAATAGAAATGGCAAGGCAGCCCTAGGTTCAATGTCCTGAATGGCAAAAAAAAAAAAAAATTTAAACAAAACACCAAAAAGTTAGAATCAGCTTGAAGAAAACTTTTTAATTATTTGTCTAGCTAGTATCCTTTTTTTTCTTTCCAAAGTACACCATGATTTCCAAATGTTGCAGGAATTATCCCCTTTCCTTCTAGAAGACTATAATTAGGGGTCCACCCCCCTCCTAGCTAAGCAATGGAGATGTTACTCAAGATGGGCAATAATTTAGAGCTCTCTGGAGTTTAAGTCTTGAGCAAAGGACAAAGAGACTAAGTTTGTGTGGCTTCCATAGTGGCTTCCTGACTAGATCCTTCATGTTACAGGACACTTCCTGGGGTTCTTGCTTAGTTCCCGACTTCTGACTTCTTGCCTATCTCTAAGCCTGTATCTTCAAATGATATCTCGATTCTGAGAAGTCCCACTCATTCACCACAAGTCGCTTCGGCTCATAGAGTTCATTTCTGCACCATAAAACCACATAATACCAACTGATATTCAATTAAGACCTTTCATTCATTCTTAAATGGATAATACCACATGCCAGATTTATAGAACGGCAATCAATTCAATGAAAGCAATTGGTACTTCTTTGTGATCAATACTGTTCTGGGTTGGTGCTGGAAAATTATAAGAAAAAGGAAAACATCAACTGAAAGTGTTTATCATGTAGTTGAGATTAATCCACATACAACAATTCCAGTTCCCATGCAGACAAAGAACTCAAAAGGAATGCATTCGGTATCCAAGCAATGACTTTTCTTGTCACCCACTTGGTTTCCCAGGCCTAAACCTGTAATTCAACCTTGACTTCTCCCTCTTCCTCACCCCACACGTCTAATTAGTCACAACTCATTCACTGAGAAAGTATTTAATAACAAACCATGTTGATTATGCTTATTATATAGCTCTGTCTTCTTTCCATCCCCCAAAGCCTCTACTTTAATTCAATTCCTCATGATGCATTTGTCACCCTGACTAACTGTGGCTCCTTACTAACTGGCTTTTCTCTCTTTGTTCCTTACAATCCATCTTCCTCTCAGAAAAAAGAAAATACCAGAGTTATCCTTATAAGATGCAAATCTGATCATGCTGCTTTCCTTCTGAGGCTTGCCAGCATCTTAGGAAAAGCTCCAAGTGTCTGACTATGGTATTTGTGGCCCTTCGAGGCACTTGAAAACTGTTCCGGAACAAAGTGAGCTGGAGAAGCATGGCCTGTCATAATCTGGCTGGTGCTTATCTCTCCAGTTTCATCTCTCACCACTCCGTGCTGCTAACATCTTGAGTCACTTACAGGTGCTCTCACCTCCTGGCCTGGGCTCAGCTGCTCTTCCAACTGGATGCCCTTCCTGCTCCCTGCCCTCATTTAACCTGAAAACTCCTAACCTTCTGCTGTTCAGGCCTAGAAGAGCTGCTCCTCCTTCCCATTGCCACAGTGGTCATTCTGAGTGTATCTCCAGCTCAAAATTCATGGGCCAAGGGAGAGGAAGGGAGGGGGCCTAGGGGTAAGAAAGACAGTGGAATGCGATGGTCATCATTATCCTAAGAACATGTATAAAGACATCAAGATGTGACTCTACTTTTTGTACAACCAGAGATATGAAAAATCGTTCTCTATAAATTAATGGTAATATGAATTGCAATGCATTCTATTGTCATATATAACAAAAAAAAATTAAAAACTTTTTTAAAAATCAGACTATAGCTAATTTTCTCTATCTTTGTGTGCCTTCCTTTCTAGAATGTAGATTCTGTACTATCAATTTGGAAACTGTGTCTGGGTCATTTTTTTTATTTTCTATGCTTAGTAGGACACCTAGGATATGAAACTATCAAATTAATGCTTACTGACTGATCAAGTACATATAAAATATTTTCAGAAGCAGTGCAAAAGGTATCTTTTTACAGAACACAAATAGCAGAGCAGGCCTGGATAGAATATATCTTAAGCAATCTAATTGCAAACATAAGAAACATCTTAATACCTAGACATTGTAATTTCAGGACTTTCTGAAGATGCCACTCTTAAATTTTAAAAAGGAAAAGTGTTACAACACAGCAACAAATAAACTTTCTAGATTCCTGAAATGCTTCTATCAACTCAGCTGATCGTGTCCCATTGAAGCATTGGAAAATCTACAGCTGCTCAGAAAGATCTGGATTTTGTGGTAAAACAGTTATAATAGATTGATATGTGATCTAGTCCAACTTTAATTCAAACTAGTAAAGATCAGGTCTCAGTCTTCGGCACTTTGCCCACTCTTCTCCATATCCTGTAGCAAGATGATTTCATCTTCCTATAGTTTTGATCTTAGGGCATTAGTCATCATCACTTAGCATTAATCCCAAATTTGTAATTCCCATCCTAACCCCTAACTAGATTTCAATTCTTTTCACAGCTTTCCAATGAAGTTACCCTTAGATCTAAAGGGAAAAAAAACCTATCATTGAATGCTCTAGTAATTCAGTTAGTGTGGGTACCAAATATCCAGCACATGTAAGATTTTTTAAAATGCTGGCTAAACAGGTGAAATATCATCTATTTTAGGTGTGAGCAACCCTAAAGCTGCTGATATTGTCCTTCTGACCTACCATCTACTGTTTCCATATAGCCACTTCCACTCTTCTTATTCTTTCTTTTTACTTTAATTCATTTTATTTCATGTGTGCTGAGGATCAAAACCAGTGCCTCACATGTGCTCTGCTCCACCACTGAGCCACATCCTCATCCCCACTCTTTATCTTCTATCAAGACATCATGTTACTTCTCAGACTGGTTCCCTCCTTTGGATTCTTCATACTTATAAAAATTTTGTTTTACATAATTCTACAATTTAAGCCCCTATCCTCTATAAGCTAATTGACTTTGTCACTGACATTCATCCGCCAGAGCTCTTCTCAGAGACCCTTGCCTAATATGCCTTCCTGAGTGTTTCCAAATGTCCCCCATCTTTACTTATCTTCTAAAAACTTGCTTATTTTCACCTTTATAAGGATTTGCACAAATCTGCTGTAAAATCTTTTCACCTAATGTATCAGTGCCTTCAGTGAGACATGCACACTAACTTGAATTCTTTTTACGTACAAAAGCTCTAAATTACTGGATTAGTCAAGATAGGCTAATTTTTGCTGCACTGACAGCAACCCCTGAATCTTGATTATTTATCAAAGGTTTCTTACTTACACTACAAGTCCTAAGCAGGTCATCAGGTAGTGCTGCTGTACCATTACTTAGGTATCTTAGCAAACAGATTTGGGGTGCTGTATATTTGGCACTGCATTATCTTCAGTTGCTATGTCAAGAGAGAACAATAGGCTCTCACCAGACAACAAATCTGCCAGCCTCCAGAAGTGCTGTTCAGTGCAGGGATGTTCATTGCCTCTGATGACAGGTGACACAACAATTTCATATTATGTGGTCTTTCCTAACAATAGTTGGCTCAAGAACTGTAAAAGAAAAAGCAGAATGCTCATTATTACTGTCTTCATAACAGTAAATTTGTATTAATAATCTTAGCTTTGTTGAAGAAGTTCCTAACCCTGGCATTTCCATGCTTTCCATTGGGATATCATTCCCCAGAGGAAAAGACCTGGGGCCAGTCACTGCCTTTCCCATCAGACTCACTTATTTCTCCTGCTGTCAGACCAGATGGAAAGCAGCATGAATGATAGCATAATCTTAGAATATTAAGGCCAAGAGCCCAGGCGCATTAGGAACTCCTTCATTAGTACAGATGAAAGTTTGCTACTTACTGATGCTGAGCTAAGCTGACCAATAAATATGCCCTAGAACATACCTGATGAGACAAAGCCATATTATTTTGAGCCTCCAGAACACTTAAAGGTGGTAGCTAGAAATTCCTATGATAGCTTGGTCCATTAGGCTGCTATAACAAAAATATCATAACCTGGGTGGCTTAGGAACAGCACTTCTGGAGGCTGGCAGATTTGGTGCCTGGTGAGAGCCTATTTTCTCTTAGACCTCTCTCACTATAACCTTATAGGGTGGAAAGGGATAGCTAACTTCCAGGTTATAAGAGCACTAATGTCAATGTCAAGGACAGAGCTTTCGTGATCTACTAGCTTTCCAAAGTCCCCACCTCCAAACACTATCGCTTTTAGGATCAGTTTTCAACCTATGAGTTTGGGGAAAACATAAACGCTCAGACTGTGGAGCTGGTTTTGGTATTTCGCTGCTTCAAGTGTATATGCATTCCTCATATCAGAGATAATTCTAGGAAATTCTGCAATTCCCTTTGTACCCCAGAACCCTGTTATTAAGGAATACTCAGGGCTGCTTCATAGTAGACCAGAGCCTTCTCGATAGAAAAACTATTGGGGAGTGGGTAGGAAGTCCTTTATTCCTGTGTCCTTTTTAAGTGGAGAGGGTTCCACTCCTGTCAGACCTCAAGCCACCCTCGCCCTCTCACACATTCCCACACAGCTGTTGTCACAGAAGGGGTTTATCTCACAGGTGAGGTTGGATGGTGGCCCTGGGCAAGTGGAGCCAGCTTCTTCCTTCTGTTTCTCTTGAGAAACAACTGCCCACCTGTTCTGCCTTACTTCTCTGTGGACAAGTCTGTATTTGTAGGTAAAGCTTGCCCAGTCAAGCGCCCCTGTAACAAGGTGAGCAAGGCTACAGACATCAGGGTTTGGGATAGAGACACCTACTTGCTCCCAGATGTAAAATACCTTCTCCAGTTTTCACTGTAACAAAAGTGATTTATTTTTTGTTCTTTGTGGTTAGAATCATTTATTGTATTTCTTAATTGTTACATAAACCAAGTATGAGAAGTGGGGTGCAATTTATTATACCCCCTGAACAAGCTTAAAAGATTGCTGTTCTTAGTATGATTTCTAATGCTATCACGGAATGCCACAGAATGTTGTTTATAAACCAGAGAAGTTTGTCTCATAATTCCAGATGGAAAGTTCCGGAGCATGATGGGGCTGCCTCTGGTCAAGGTCTTCATGCTATACCATAACATGGCAGAAGGTACCACAGAGTGAGAGGACACATAAGAGACAGAAAGAGGGGACCAAAGTTACAAGAAACCCACTTGCAAGAAAAATAACCCACTCCCATGGAAAAGACGTTAATCCATTCATCAAGGATTAATGATCCTTGTGACCCAACCACTCTAGACGGTTCCACCTCTTCATACTGTTACAATGGCAATAAAGAAGGAAAACTGAGGCTCATCCAACCACATTGTTTTTTCTCATTAAATTATATGCACTTGAAGTTCACATAATGACTGTTTTTTAGTGCCACCTTTTGGGTGGTCTTTTATTACATAACATCAAAATTTCAAAACTCTGGAAATTCAGTGTATGTGTACATATCCAGTTTACACCTTTAGCTTTTCACATTAACTATGCACTTTATTTGAATGAGGACTCTATTTTCTTACGTTGCATAATAAAATGGGAGCATGAAATATCCCTAAAGATTTTTGAATCATGGGATAAAAGCTCCATCCAACCCATCTGTTATATCCTTGTCCCCCAACACAAACCCCAGCACTCACATTCACATAGCATTAGGATCTAGTTATGTCTACTCCTTCCCTTTTACTTACCTCAGAAATCAGTGGACTCTGTGGCTGCCTGGAACTCCTGTGTCATTGGTTGACAGCCAGAGAAGACTAGGTAACTTTTCTGATACCTCAGGGTTGACAAGAAGTGGAGCAAACTCAGGTTTAGTAATTCTAATTCCATAAATTGCATTTACGCATGCAAAAAAAAATCTTTTACAAGCATCCCCTGCTACTTAAATTTCAAAATGAATTAATCTGAATGTGAGATAAATTGTTTCTAACAGTCCAACAAAATAATAGAATTGTCCACTCTGACTCACATCTGGTATCTTAAAAACCAACAACAAGGATCAGAAGGAGCCCAACAACAGGGTTTCTCTGCTTTAAGTTAGAAAGAGAAAACATTATTTACTGGGATCCAGCACCTACCATCGACTCTGATGAATCATTCATTAAAGAGTTTACTTGACATATTTTCCACTCATTCATTCGTCTAGGTACCCACATTCCTATTCATATAATTATTTAGATTATTGAAAAGTAAGAACCCTAAAAATATTAATTCAATGGACATAGAAAATATTCACAAACATAATTTCCAGTCCTAAGGTTAAAAGCATCCCTTTAAGTATGATTTTATAGGTTTTTTTTATTAGTTGCTCAAAACAATACAATGATCATGACATATCATACATTTGATTCAAACAGGGTATGAATTCTCATTTTTCCACGTGTACAGATTGCAGGATCACATTGGTTATACATCCATGTGTATACATACAGCAATCCCAGTGTCAGTTGTATTCTACTGCCCTCCCTATCCCCCCTCTTCTCCCCTCCCCTCTCCTCCCATCACCTCTCTCTACCCAATTTACTGTGACACTTATCTCTCTCTCTTTTTTCCCTTCCGCCTCATAAAAGCATAGTAGGTCCTCACTGAATTTAATGTTCTCTATACAAGCACTTCCTGTACATTTGACTTTAAAAAAAAATAAGATTGGTATAAGTGAGTTTGTATCATTTAAATTATTGTGACTATAGAAACAAAACTATTCTAAATATCTTTGTTTGCAGGTAAATCAAATTACATGCCAAATTATATAATAATTAGATCATCTCAGATATTAGGTCAAATTTGCTCTTTCTTCTCTTTGCTGTTGGTCTCTGTTCTGTTTTGTTTTCAATACAAATTTCTTTATCTTCTTTTATGTTCTCATTTCCAAATTGTCCTAAATCTCATTGATCGTGGCTCAGGTGCAAAATATAAGGTGTGAATTCAGAAGCTCCAGTAAGAAGGCTGTGACTGCTGGACCTAATATCAGATTGGAGTAGTATGGAAGAGCCTCCCAATGGTCCCTGAGTCTGAGCTGAGGACAAGGCAGATGCAAAACTAATGACAGTGAATTCAAAATAGGAGAGAAAAGAAGACTTCTAGAGTCTCAAGAAGCCCAGTAGGCCTCACTGAAAAGTTGAGTTTATCAAGAATTCAAGGTGTCTTAATGGAAGCAAAACCACTGTGGCCATGAACTTGGTGGTGAGCTATAGACAGTGACTCACTGTTATGGCTTGGATATGAGCTATTCTCCAAAGCTCACATGTGAGACAATGCAAGAGGTGAAATAATTATGAAAGCTGTAACCTCATCAGTGGATTAATCCATGTGAATGGTCTAACTGGTTGTTAACCGTAGTGTGTGCCAGAGGAAGTAGGTCACTGCAACTGGGGGGACTTTGAATTTCCTTCTTTGTCCCTGATGAACAGAGCCCTCTTTTCTTGCTGTCATGAGCACAGCATTTTTCCTCTGCCAAGCCTTTCTTCCAGGATACCTGCCTCAACTCAGTCCAGAGATATGGAGTCAGCTGATCATTTACTGAACCTCTGAATCCGAGAGCCAAAATAAACGTTTCCTCCTCTCCGTTGTTTTTGTTAGGTCTTTTGGTCACAGAGATGAACAGCCAACAAAAACCATTCACCAAAGACAGGGATACCTATTGAGAAAGAGTTCCTGTGCTTCCTTCTGAGTTCATCCATGAGTTCCTCCAAGGATTTAGCCATGGTTAAGTGCTCCCCTCCAATCTCACCCACTTTAAGAAACACTGCCTCTGTGTGAAAAAGGAAAGAATGGAATAAGGAACAGTACAATTCTAGAATATATCAATCAGATAAATGAGTACATTCAATACATTATTGGAGGGTTCAGAATTTTTCTAAGCTTTGGGATTTTTTATTATATGCCTCGTGGTATGATGAAACACGAATTGATTTTAAAGGCTTTGTCCTTCTGAACAGGTATTTTGCCCATTTGAAAGCTTGGACAATGACAAAATTAAAGCCAATAATGATGTCTACATATTTCAATTCATGAAGTGGAAGCTTTATTGACAACTTTTTAAAGTCCTACTGAAAAGTTCAGTTAATATCAAATTCAGTTTGGTATTAATTAAAGTACAAACCTGTTCAAATAATTCAAATCTTATTGCCCTCTCTCTAATTTATGAATTTATTTCTTATTTTATTTTAAATGATACATAATTATACATATTTATAGAATGCAATGTGATATTTCATATATGTCATACATTGCCTTAATGATCAAATCAAGGTAATTACCATATTCTATCACCTAAAGCATCTATCTATCATTTATTTGCAGTGAATCATTCAAATTCCCTTTTTCATGCTATTTTGAAGTATTCAATACTGGCTGCAGTTCTGTTTAAAAAAAATTTGGAACTTATTCCTCCTAACTGAAACTTTGTACCCACTAACCAACCTTTCGCCACCAGCATCTGCCATCCTCTCCAGCCTCTGGTAATCTCTATTCTACTCTATTTCTATTAGATGGAACAGATTTCATTAGGATATTATTTCTTCCAATAGTGGAAAAGAAACATAGCATACTATAAAGTCTTATTTCTCCTTTGTGTTTCACAAAATATTACAAATCAGTTAATGTTGTTAAGACTTAAATGGAGGCACATGAACTTTCTTTGTAGAACATGTGAGAATTCGAAAACATTGGGTGGCTCTTCTTTTATATATTGGGAAACACAGAGAAATTAGTTCATTATTCCCTAAATTTATTTAATTCTAACTAGCTCATTAAACTCTGAGGAATCAAACAAAAATGGTACTGCTTTTGTACTTCACATGTTAAGATCCTCAAGATTGTCAACTCTTAATCTAAACTGCTCATTTGGCTGCCAGTAGAAATATGTATTTGATAAAGCTGACTTTATGGAACTTACAATAAACATGCAATGCACCACACCTAAAAGAAATGTTTTCCATTGAAGGCAAAATTATCTTTTATAGGTAGTTATATGCTCTAGACTGCTGAAACAAGAACCATTTATGTTAGATAACTTCTAGTTACAAAGTAGCATTAATTATCACCAATTAGGAAATACAGTTAAAAAGCATAAGTTCAGAACTAAAAGTGAATATTTGTTAATCTTATACTATGTAAACTTATATGATAGAAAAATCCTAGATGAAGACCACTATTAATATTAATAGATAATTTTAAATAATTTGCTTGAAAAAGAAATGTCTATGTCTTATGCATACTCTCATTCAATAAAAATCTATCTTATGAAACATTTTAAATGTTTATTTTATTTTGAGTCATTCTAAATGCAAATATAATAGACAATACTCACATGTACTCTTCACCTAGATTTCCTTTCTGTTAGCCTCTTATGTAACTAAGGTTTAATTGTCAAATGAATAAATTAACATTGATACGATGATTAAACTGTTTACTATTTCAGATTTCCCCAATATTTCCTCTAATCCTTTTTCTGTTTCAGGAACGATTTCAGAATAAATTTAGTTGCATTGTATTTTTTACTTAAAAAATGAATACATTCATTTTGGATAAGTAAAAACCTATAAGTAGCATAATAAATATTTTTGAATTATTATTTGAAATGTGATAAAAGTAGAAATCTTGTACACTTCTTCTCCCAGAAATTTTATAAAAATGGAAAAAAATTAAATGTATCTATTGTTTTAGAATTTTTTTACTATATGTTTATATACTATAAATTATATATATATATTATTTTACGTATAATTATGGTTGTAGTATATTTTTTTAATTTTCATTTTACTCTCAGTGTGTACCCATTTGTATTTAGTTTATTGGAGAAGCATAAAATTACATGAGAATATTGAAATAATGAACTTGACACTCTGAAAAGGTAGAATTTATATCTCCATGTATTTTTATGGTATTATTTGTACTGTTTATAGAAATATTTCAGAGACTACAAATCATCTTGGTTAGATAGAGCTACTACTTTGAAATAGCTAAATGAGAGAGAGAGAGAGAGAAAGAAAGAAACTCCACCCATTCAAGGCTTTACCGAGGAATTGTGGAATGAGAGATACCGTATAAGGTTTTTGTGGAACCCGACTTTGGAACCAATAAGTATGGGTTTGTTAATGATGTCACAGAGGTTGAAGGATGCAGTTATTAAGAGACCATCAACTCATTACATTTAGGACTAAACAATTAAGACAAAACTTTCCAAGACAAAATGCCGCAGTCCGGCTGCAGCAAAATAACCGGGGACGAGCAACTTGTGTACATTGATACAGCAGGAGTGGGAGCCATTTATTGTAGGACAGGAGGGGCATATATACATTCCACACAGCTTACCTTAATTAACATAAACTAGATACAGCAGTCAACCAATAAGAAATCTCCACACTTAATGGCTTGCTGGAGCTACCTCACAAACCACTCCCCCTGGCAAAATACCAGGCACCATCCTGACTTGTTTACAGACTCTAACAACAAAAAAAATGAAGAAAACTCAGAGAAGACCAGAGCAATAGTGCAAATATAATTAAATAGTTAAAGAGAGCGGTCTTTAAGAAATGGAGTCATTTACCATAGAGAAAGAAAGCTAAAATCAATCTTCAATTTTAAGCTTGGCTACTACCCAGAGGATGTAATCTCCAAATATACTGACCCATAAACAGATGGAAGTAATTGTAAAAATAGAAAGATAAATGTAAGATAAAGGAAGGAAAGTTTTTCTGATTTTGGAAGTGATTAAGCTGCTAGAAGTTCAACAGCATTTTTTGTTTTTAGCAAGCAAATAAGGAAAAGAGTGTTCTGAATTGCATGTCTGTTTTTCCTTTGATTATCACCATGTATGTTTGCATTCTTTAATGATATGTCCACTTCTGAATATTTATAGACAGTGAATATACATTCTGAAATATATTTGTTCAGAATTACTAATCCACTTTCTAAACTTTTATTATCTGGTACTAGAAGATATTCAGATACCTTCTGTTATTTTCCCTGCTCGATCAGGAGTCCTGGTTCCTTTTATTGAAAAATAACACATTACTCAACTTTGTGTCACTGTGACCAATATACATGACAGAAACAATTTGAAGGAGGAAAGGCTCATTTTGACTCACTGTTTCAGAAGGATCAGTCCATGATTGGCTGATTCCATAGCACTGGGCCTGAGGTGAAGCAGAACAATGTGGCGGAAAGGCACAGTGAAGGAGAGCTGTTCAGCTCATAGCAGCCAGGAAATGGAGTGAGGAATGTAATGAGTTGACGGTCTCTTAATTCCTGCATCCTTCAACCTCTGTGACATCATTAACAAACCCATACTTATTGGTTCCAAAGTCAGGTTCCACAAAAACCTTATACGGTTATTCTCTATAGTGAGAACATGTCCTTTCTTTTGAAAGGCAGAGAGCATAAAGGGTTGACTATGTAAGTCCCATCAAAAATTAATTTAGATCAAGGCAAGGTTTATACCCAATTCACCTCTGGATTTCCTTATTTCTCAGGAAAGAGTTGTCAAATATTTACTTCATATCCTCCTTCTTGAAACTCTTCAATCCTAGCCTTCTAGAATTTAAGAACAGCCTCCTAAGAGAAAAAAAAAAATGGAAAGGAAATATTTGCAGCTCTTTCAGACTCAAATCCTGTACTCATTCCCAAGCAGCACTAAGAAGCTCTGCTTGTTTCTCTTTTTGCCAAGAAAATCTTCTTGTTTATGTCAAATCTGTGCCTTACCCCAGACCCAGTGTCAGCAAATCTCTCAAGTAGTATCATTACCACTGATTTCTGCCCATCTATGAATTACTTTTCTGTGGAATGTAACTTTTAGAATTAGAACTTTTTGTATGTGATGTATTGCAAAAATGTTTTTTCATCTGGTTTTTCTAGACAGCACAGTGGAATCATTGATCTGCTGCTTCTTTCTGTATTGTATCCAAAGAAAATCATCATATGACTTTTCTTTGTCAGGCAAACTTGTGTTTCACAGGAATGTTGTGTTCCCCTCTCTTCTGTACCAATTTAGGAATAGGTCTGTCAATTCTGCAAAGAAACTATTGAGGTTTTTATAGGTCAATTCTAATGCTAATTGCATTCCTTAGATATGTCTTTTAACTCAGGTACATTTCATACCTCTTGATTTATTTAAGTCTTCTTTAATTCCTTTAACAAAGTTCTGTATTCACAAAAAGCTTCTATAAACTTTATTATATTTACTCTTATGTATAATTTTAATATAGTCCCAAATGTATATTTAATTTAATTTTATTTTCTAAATTTGTACAGAGAAGAGAATTCTGTGAATTACTCCTTTTCAGAAACAAAACTCATTTACTTATTTATTGATTCTAAATATTAATAATTATTGGGCTTTATGTATTGATAATTATTTCATTTGCACATAATTATTCTCCAAAAAGAATGATTTTTTAAAAAGTTGTAATGGCAGTTGTTCTTAATTAGTTCATTATCACATATGAAATATTCCCCACATATCCAAGTTAGGTATGATGCTGGCTGAAGAATTGTCACATCAACTGTTGATCTGGTCACAAAAATACCCTTTCATGCATTGTTTCCTAAGAATTTAATTACAATGTGTGTTAGACTGATTTTCGTCACTGTGAACATAGCACATGACAAGGACAACTTAGAGGAGGATGAGTTTATGAGTCCATGGTTGGTCAGTCCCACTGCTCTGGTCCCCAGGTGAGATAGAACATCATGACCAAAGGGCACAGTAGGGGAAAGTTAGTTTATAGCAGCTATGAAGCAGAGAGTGGGAGGGGAAGTGGCCACAGGGAAGATAAACCCTTCAGGGCACACCCCCAGGAACCCACCTCCTCCAGCTGCACCCCACCTGCCGATGATTACCACCCAGTTAGTGCATTCCAACTAGGATGAGCAGACTAAATGAAGTCTCAGACAAACCAAACAAATCAATCATTTCATTTCTAAACATTCCTGCATTAACACAGAAGCTTCGGGGAACACCTCTTAACTAAACCTTAACAGAATGAAGGAAGGCTGACTTTTACCTAATATTTTTTTTCTATATTATTTATAAAATTGTTATATGCTTCTGTTGTTAAGGTCATAAATTGCGTTTATTGATTTTCTTGTGTAAAAACATTGTTGAATTTCGGAATTAAAACACCTGGTGAAAATGTATTTATTTATTTATTTATTTATTTTGTACATCCTTCAATTAGGTTTGGTTTGCTATTATTTGGCTGAACATTTTAGCATCAATGTTACAAGTATGATGACCAGAAATCTTCCTCCTTCATGCTTTCAGGCTTTTAAAGTATAACTGGCTTAGACATGCCTTCATTTTATATGCTCTGGAATTCTTTATGTTGCTGCTTGATTTTCCTGCCCCAAACTCTCATCTGAGGTGATGCTTCTTCTTCATAAAATGACATAATATGACATTTTCTTTAATGAGACTATTCAAGCAAACTCTTAGGTATTCTTAAAATAAAAAAAATCTTTCTTTGCAAGTATATAATTTTGCAATGATGGTTATTTTCTCTCAGGATATTAAATATTCCATTTCACTTTCTTCAAACTTTCACTGATGAAGGGAAATCTCCCTTAGGATAATTGCCTTTCTTCTAAATAAACCTGTCTATACTTCTGGTTAGGGCTTTAAATTTGTTGTGTATCCTTAGTGATCTGAATTTGAACTGCTCTATTTAGCTATGAATTTTTTTTATTTTTAACCTTACTCTATCTTCTGTGTTTCTTAAATTGCCTTATCTACTTTTCATACCATGGACTTTCTTACATCATTTGAAATTTCTCTGTATCTTTTTCCGCATCACTAATTTGCTCTTCAACTTTGTCTACTCTGATAATAAAACCATTTTATTAAGATTTTGTGCTTAGTTGTTTTTATAGAGTCTCACATTTAACTAATTTTTAAACCATATTGTACGATAAATCCAATATCTAATTGTGTGTGGGGGGGTACTGGTGATTAAACTCAGGGGCACTCAATCACTGAGCCACATCCCCAGTCCTAATTTGTATTTTTTAGAGACAGGGTCTCATTGAGTTGTTTAGTGCCTAACTTTTGCTGAGGCTGGTTTTGAACTGACAATCCTCCTGCCTCAGCCTCTCAAGCCACTGGGATTACAGGTATGTGCCACTGTGCCCAGCCAATATCTAATTTTTTGCAAATTTGATTCTGTGATTTCATTCTGCTGGCTCTTACTAATCATGGCTTACTTACTTGGTTTTGCTTTGTTGTGGCTTTCTTTTTGTTTTCCCTATGAGCTCATATTTCTGTGGCTATTATTTGAGCCCTGAGTTTGATGGCTTTCATGGGAGAAGGATTTTGTCTAGTTCTGCCAGGTCCTGGGAGCAACAGAGACAAGAACTATGTTACACCGAATACTTGTACGTTGAGAGTTGCGACCACCTAGGAACTATGAATTTGGTCTGTAAAATTGAAATCTAATGGTTTGAGTTACAAAGTCAGACAGAAAGTTTTTCTTTCTCCTGCATACAGTATCAAAGTTCAATTCCACTATTTTTCTTCTCCTCTCCTGAGAGGTGAATACGTGGAGTGTAGAGAGGCGATTCCTAGTGCAAATCCCATCTCATGTAGCTCTGGAGTTTCTTCCATGTTCCTGATTTCCAAAGAGTCCCTGAAAACAAACTTTATCCATATTGAAAATTCCCTGAAGAAGAACTAACTTCTGAATTTTATTTCCCTTTGTTGACTCCTTGGCCTCTAAGAATTCCTTACTTTCTCCTCTGTTCACAGATGCATTCATAAAGATGTTATTTTTAGTATTTCCTCCAGCTTTTAAAATTGTTTTCATCAGGAGAAGTCTTAGGCAATCTTCCACAGTATTTCCTGAAATAGACTTAAAAACCTTCTAATTTTTAAATGTTTTATTGTAATTCTAAACAGAAACCCTCATTTAACAGTTTTGAAGAGTTCTAAATTACATAATTTTGGTTGCTAATAAACAACTATATTTTAAATAAAGAAATACAAATAGCTTTAAATCATGTCTCCTCCCCAATAATTCCTTCATCATAAAAATATGCACTTAAAGAAGTATGCTCTCTTCTGAATCCTTATCATGGACAAACTTTATTTTCAGATTGTTACTAATAGTCTTCATTTCATCTGATTTAAAATAAACATTTGTTGGAAAGTGAGTGAGAATTTTAAAAGTTGCAGGTGGTGAAAAGATACCATCCCTTCTCTGGAGAAGTTGACACACCAGTGGAAAAATTATGCAAGTAAGTCAACTGTTACAGAAATTTGAAGGTGATAAGATAATGATGGGTATAGTAATAAAAGTGAAAGAGAAGTTTGTTATTGCTTCAGCCTATTTATCGGTATGTTTTGGAGCAACTGGCATCATCTGGCAATTTGCCCATATGGAGTCACCTTAAGAGCAGAGGAATGTCTGGGTACAGTGCCCCATGCCTGCAATCCCAGTGACATGGGAGACTGAGGCAGGAGGAGCACAAGTTCAAGGCCAGCGTCAGCAGTTTAATGAGGCCTAAGCAACTTAATGAAACCCTATCTCAAAATAAAAAAATAAAAAGGGCTAGAGATGTGGCTTGGCCGCAGAGTTAACCCTGCATTCAATCTTTGGTACCAAAAATAAAAGTGGAGTATTGGAAACAAATAGTTTTTCAGGTACACGAAAAAATAAAGAATGCCCTAGGTTTCAAGAAGGATAAATAGAAAAGTATAAAGCATCACTGTGTGTGTGAGGAAAGTTTGTTACTGGGAGAAAAGTGTGAGAAGGGCTCATGAGAGCTGAGATCAGGTACGTCATCACAAGACATAGCGAGGAGTTCGGATTTTATCTTCTAAAGGACTAGGAGGCATTTGTTCATTGTTTTTGCAGAAAAGAAGTAAAACAAATCTGTACAACAAAGTTCCTGTTGTTGAAATTTGTGGAAGATGCAATGTGTGAAGCATGCTTATGGATTTCTTTCCCCTTAATCTCTTGTATTTCTTTATTTTGACAGCTTTTTATAGAGATTTTTTTCTATACAGTTCTATAAAATGTATGTATCATTTTAATGGAAATACAACATTTTCTCAGATTGTTTTATTGAAATATATGTCCATATACATATATTTATATAAGCTAACTATAGATTCTGTATATGTTTACAAAGTTTTATAAAGAATATAAAACATAATGCTTTGTAAATTTCTTTTAGCTGAAAGAGGTATTATAAAAAATTACCATACCTATAAATTTTCTTTGCAGGGCATTTTTTTGATACCTACCATTAAATCATACA